TTCACAACTATGATTCGACATGCCATCTGCACACGGTCGACGCAACTTCATTCCCTTTGTATTCCATTTGTAAGGAGAAAGTTCCACTTATATATCTTCTTCTCCAGAACAATTACTTAGTGAAACAAGCTCTTGTGAGGATGCTTTCCTGGTTACAAAAATCTTAACCTCTCCAAATACAAAATCAACCGTTATCTATCCTACATATCAACATAACACCCACTTCTTTACGCACTTGCAACAATCTCATTCAGTAACACTTCACCTTGAGTGGCTCTTACGCCTTGTATCGGTGAACAACAGTATAAAAAATATTAATAATGACGTGTAGGGCAGGGGTCAGAATCGAATTGTATTATACATCAGAGAAGAATAAATTAAATCAGTATAGTCGAATTATATTCACAAATTAATAAAAAGAATGACATAAAGGAAATGATGCAAAAAATTTAGGCAAAGAGAAGGAATGAATGAAAATTGAATGAAAACTAAAATCAAAACAGAGGGTAAATTTGAAAAAGAATTTTTAGAAATAATAGAAAGAAAGAAAGAAAGAAAGAAAGAAAGAAAAAGAAAGAAAGAAAGAAAGAAAGAAAGAAAGAAAGAACAAGTAAAAGAGAAAAGAAAGAAAATTGAAGAGAAAAAGAACATGAAAGAGATAAAGGAATCAGAATAGAAGAAGAAGAAGAAGAAGAAGAAGAAGAAGAAGAAGAAGAAAGAAAGAAAGATAAAGGAATAGAAAAGAAAGGAGGAAAGGAATTTAAAAAATACGGAACGAAAGAATCTGGCTAAAAAAAGAATGGTGGAGCGAAGAAGATAAGAAGAAAAGGAAAGAAAGAAAGTAAGGAAAAGTAATAAAAACAACATTAGAAAAGAAAGGAGATGGAACAGAAGGAATGGAACGAGATGTAAGAAAGAAACAGCGATAGAAAGAAAGAAATAGCGAAAGAAAGAAAGAAAAAGAAAAGGAAATAGCGAAAGAAAAAAGAAATAGCGAAAGAAAGAAATAGCGAAAGAAAGAAAGCAAGAATCTGACTAGCAGAAAAAAAAGAAAGATAAGAATCTGAATAGCAGAATAAATAGAGAAAGAAAGAAGGAAAGAAAGAAAGAATCTGACTAGCTGAAGAAAGAAAGAAAGAAAGAAAGAAAGAAAGAAAGAAAGAATAAAAAAGCAAAACTGGAAAAAAAAGATGAATAAGAAAGAAAGGTGGTTTACAATGAGAGAGACGAAAAAGGAAAAAAAGAAGAACGACCGAAAGCAAAGAAAGTGATTTAAAAAAGAAACAAACAATATTAGTACGTCCTTTTCTTTTTAAATAAAAGAAGGAAGAAAAAGGAAACGTAGATGAATCAATACAGAATTGACAGGCGTGTGTAGGCCAAGGTTGTGGGTACGTCGTTTTTATGATGGAGTAGAAACTCTTTGGTAGTCAGGTGCAGAGTAAAAAGAGATGAGGTGCCTTTTTTATGCTCGAATATACACTTGAAGGGAAGGGCCGACGCGGGAAATGCTCTGACACATTGGCATGAAATCAAGTGCGGCTGTCTGTACGTACGCGTCTGTGACGAAGAAGAGATGCGTCACTACTTAAGGCGCTGTATGGCTGCCTATGTGTGTCGGATTGTGATCATTTTAGAAATAAAGTAGGCGGTCTAGTGGACGGGACATAAAAAAAAGAGAAAGCAAAGCCAAGAAAGAAAAATTGGAATCGTAAAAACAGTTTTGAAATTAGTTTGGCGGATGTGTGTATTAAGTTTTGGTGATACCTCGAAAGAAAAAAAAAGATATTTCAATCCTTGCCGGTTTTAAGCGGGCTTTTCGTTTATTTATTTATGTTTATAAATCTTCAAAGCATAAGGCCTCATAAACGTTCGGCATAATTTTTTAATTTTTTTTAAGGATAAAGCATGGCAAAAATTTAATTAAATCAAACTTTTCATGCTCAATTAGCATTTAATTAATAGTTTTCAAGTTCACTTCCTTCACCGAAAACATAAATTCTAATCTCGATAGAAGAAAAAAACTTATCCCGAAAAAAATACCTCTATGTAATCAATAATATTTAATTACATATATCTCTCTCTTCTGTACAATAAGGCTTAGTTTATTTACTGGAGTTGGATAATCCATCTTTTTGTAATTTTCGGTACATCTATCGAAAGTTTGTACTTACAATCAGAAAGGGTCAGTTGAAATTTCTGGGCTTGGACAATTTGACTCCTACTGGAAATATTGAAACCAGAAGAGCAGAAGTAAACAACTAGTAACTTAACTAATGAGCTTATATAAATGAATTGCAGAACAAAGGGGATAGCATTGGGAAGGTGTAGGAAAATATGAACGTTCACATTCTGAATGAACAGGACACAAAGAAGAACGTAATATGCCTACCATAAATCCATTGTTTTAATATCATTTGCTTTATTTCTACTATAAAATTATTTACAATTCATTTCAACTGTAAAGTATTACTAATCTAGCCTTGCCTTAAAAAATAACTGCCAGTAATTGTGAAAAAGTTTTGATACTCAGATGCAAAGAAACAAATGTTTTGAAAGAATGTATTGAGATTCAATGAAATATTGAAATTCAATAAAACAATCTAAATAAAACAATGTATTGAGATTCAATAAAACAATGTATATAAACAATAATTAATGTAAATGCAATAAAACAATGTATAGAAAGCAATAAAACAATGTACTGAGATTCAATAAAACAATGTATAGAAAGCAATATAACAATGTGTCGAGATTTAATAAAAATACGTATACGAAACAATGTACTGAGATTCATTAAAACAATGTATACAAAGCAGCAAAACAATGTACTGCGATTCAATAAAACAATAAAACAACTTATACAAAACAATAAAGCAATTTATTGAGAGTCAATAAAACAACTTACACAAAACAATAAAACAATGTATTGAGATTCAATAAAACAATGTATACAAAACAATAAAACATTGTATACAATACAATAAAACAGATCCAAATTCTGGAACTTAAATAGAAGGCAAGAGGACATTTAATTATTCCGTTCGCTTATTTGTACGTTCCTTAAAAACAATTTGTTATATTACATTTATTATCTTATAAACATAATGTTTATTTTGCTATCTTACATAACTAAATCTCGGAATTCACAAATTCAACGGAAACCATTTAAGTGTTTACACAGTTACTTCCTTTATTACTACGTTTCTTGTAAAAAAAGATATCCTTCACTGCCTGTATCTTTGATTTGTTTAACGGCATATCACCTCCTGAATCATTTAATGCCGAAATTTAATTTCTGGGGGAGCATTAATAATACATTGCCGGCAATTTTTCACCTTGCAAAAATGCATTGCTAGTAAGGGAATTAACCATTCATAAATTTACTAACGTAAATTGATTGATCTTACTTTTTACTATATAGTGTGACCCGAAAGATATAAGTAAAAAACATGCACAACGTTAATTATTATATAGTGTTGATAATTAAAATGTCTAAGGGAAGTAACCATTCATAAATTGACTAACTTAAGTTGATTGACCTTACTTCCTATTATAACGTGAGCTAAAAGATATAAATAAATAACGGTAATTAATATATAGCGTTGATACATATTATAGTTATATTCTACCAGACACACGAGATTTAATTTCTGACCTTTGACTGTCAATATCTTCTTTATTTACAGTACATTTTTATCGTAATTATTTTTACTGTAATAAAAATGTTATACATATCATTGCTGTATACGCTTGATTAATTCCTCAACTTTGACAGTCAGTCCATTTGTTATTTTCAGTACGTTTCTATCATAAGATTATTTACAATGCATTTCTATAATGAAAATTTTATTATTATGTTATATAATAGCACTGTCCTGTTAGTAACTCCTACATCGATTTTTGACCACTGACATTCACTTCCTTCCTTATTCATGACGCATTTCTATCTTAAAATCACTTGTAATGCATTTCTAAAGTAAAATAGATGTAATGCTTTTGTACTATAAATATAATAGTGTTATACTTTCAGTCAGGTTTGCATTAATTCCTGAGGTTTGCCAGTACATTTCGTTATCATTTTAGTACACTACATACTCAGTGAGAGCTGAACAATCCGAGAGCATAATCTTGTAGACCCTATATTGGATAATGTCTGAGAAACAGCAATGCCTGAGAATCCAATCCCTATTAAGGCTGTTTACAATTATGGTAAAGAATAGTAGAGGAATTTGTCGCTGCCAAGGAATCAAAGCGACGCAGTTTCTGATTTTCAGTCATTACAAATTGAATCAACTTCTCCATTTTTTTCTCCTTTCTGGTCAATACTTCACCGCCACCTCGAATCATATACAGATGTTGCAGTGTATTTGATTACATTGGAAACGATCGCTTCCATTGAAGCAAATGGATGTATCAACCAAATATAGCTCCCGATTAGACCCAAATGAATACAGCAATCGAATAAATACATGTGGATTATGTTAGATCGCCAGTTTCTTTGGCTGGGATGTTTCCTCTCATCTAACGTGTTCAGTATCTACTGCATTTTCAGGGTAATATTTATTCTCACCTTTACAGAAGTCTATTTATAAAACGAAGCAACAAAAACAATTGAGTTCCGGTAAAACCGACAAAGACACCTAGACAAGTTTTTAGCTGGTAAAGATAAAGTGTTCCTGACCTGACATCTCGACTTGAGTTTTCCGCCATAACATAGATTCCGATTCTATGAATATTTTCATGGACATTTTTCTGGGCGTCCCTCTTTATATTAGGTCGGTGCAAAAATAATGACGTAATAATGTCGTTTTTTGACGTATTTTTTAACGTCAAAAACGTCATTATTTTTGCACCAACCTAATAACATTGAGTTACTGAATTTAAGTGAAATACGAGAATGGTGGAACGTACTAATCAATTTACTATTGAAATTGCTAGATGTAAAAGTAAGTTTTATTTTAAGAGTTACATCTTTCAAACTTCTTGCCTGTGGAACTCTCTTCCGGATTCTTAATTAACTGATAACCACGATGTTCAGAAAAGTAAATACAATATCAATCGTCATATCCTGTCTTTTTAAAATTCTGTGTTTTCATTGTCCTTTCTCGTCAATAAAGTTTTCACCGTTTCTTTCACTCTCAATTACTGATGGCGTCTTAGTGGCATCATCGCCTTTGGGCCTTGAGGGTAATGATTAAAAATGGCAATTCTGGAACTTACCGGAACATGACAGAAGAATCTCAAACTAAATAGTTCAATGCATCATCTATCTATCTATCTATCTATCTATCTATCTATCTATCTATCTATCTTAGTCTCTTTCATATAAAGCTAGCTCACTATCTCTGCGCGTTCTTTATATATATATATATATATATATATATATATATATATATATGTGTGTGTGTATATATATATATATATATATATATATATATATATATATATATATATATATATATATATATATATATATATGTCTTAAAATAGACGTCACTCAGCTTACATGTATCAAGCCCAAGTGTGGTTTATTTATCTACCTAGCTGTCTGTACCAACGTTTTTTTTTTATCCTTATATCTATTTCCTATATATCTACAGAACTCAGTTTTTTCCTATCTATCTATCTATCTATCTATCTATCTATCTATCTATCTATCTATCTATCTATCTTAATCTCTTCATATAAAGCTTGCACGCTATTTCTGTGCATTCATTATCTATCTATCTATCTATATATATATATGTGTGTGTGTGTGTGAGTGAGTGATGATATATATATATATATATGTGTGTGTGTGTGTGTGTGTGTGTGTGTGTGTGTGTGTGTGTGTGTGTGTGTGTGTGTGTGTGTGTGTGTATCTATCTTTAAATCCACGTCACTCATCTTACATGTATCTACACCAAGTGCGGTTTATTTATCTACCTGTCTATACCAATATGTTTCTCTTTATCTATCTATCTATCTATCTATCTATCTATCTATCTATCGATTTTGTTACTCTATTCATCCTTCTTTCCGCAGCAGGCAGGCATGCCTTTCTTTCTTTCTTTCTTTCTTTCTTTCTTTCTTTCTTTCTTTCTTTTCTTTCTTTCTTTCTTGTCCCCTTCTCGTCTTTCCTTTAGATTTTCTAACCGGTTCGCTGAACAGCGAGGCGGGTTCGAGATCTTGTATTAACGATGTTAAGAGATAAATTTACCTTATGACCATCCAACTCGAACATGGCACGAGCAGTGGCGAAGAAAGAAAACCAGCCTCGGTTTCGTTTCGTGTCGTGTATGGTTTCATTTTTAACTTGTTAGCCATCCAAACCCCGCACATTTTATTCATTACTTTTGAACGACACGGGGCGGTGGCGATATACGTGTGCCCTAATTCACTTGACTCGTGTGTTTTCCCTGGAGATTCCACTTGTGGTGGAATGAGTCTGAAAAACAACTCTCATTGAACTTATAAATTACATCCAAAGATATATACATATAAACATTTTGTTAGACTTTTTTAACACCCGTCAACAAAACACGCTGACACACACACACACACACACACACACACACACACACACACACACACACACACACACACACACACACACAAAGAAAGCGCATCTCTTTCTTTAATGCGCTTTCTCAAACATTCAGGCCGGTAGACGAAAAAAATACATTGTTTCGATAACCAACAACTACTATTCTTAAAAGAGTGCTCAATACAAAGTAGAGCAGATATAATTATTTATTTAAAAAATTTATAACATAAATATAAAAATCCCAAAAATATCCATTTTTTCAACATTTCGTCTCTTATCTAATGATGATGTTGAATGTAAAACCTTTTTTACATTCAACATCATCACTTGATAAGACACTGAGGGTGTTGAAACAAAATGGATATTTTTGTAGTGATTTTATAACATATTTATGTTATAATTTTTTTTAAATAAACAATTATATATATATATATATATATATATATATGTAAAGATACAGTGGAACCTCGGTTCACGAATTTAATACGTTCCTTAAGGCCGTTCGTAACCCGATATGTTCGGAAACCGAAACTATTTTTCCAATATGAATCAATGTAGAGAAAAAAGTCACAGTACAATAAAATTGGAAAAGAAAAGCACGACATAACACACGAATGTATACAAAATGGCGGTCGATTCAGAAATGATTCCGTTCGGGTTAATTCGGTTCGGCAATGTTATTCGAGAACCGAAATTTTGTTCGATAACCGAGGCATTTTCATCTTGAATTTTCTGTTCGGAAACCGATTTGTTCGACATGTGAGACGTTCGAGAACCGAAGTTGCACTATATATATATATATATATATATATATATATATATATATATATATAGCCTGACGATTGCGTTTAAGCATGAAACAGACCGTCGCCTCTGGGTATTGACCTCAATGTCCACTAAACATTGAGGAGTGTCCATATAAACATACGTCCGCAAGTCCTTCGTTTAAATTTTACGGTGAACGCTTCTAAATGTACAATCCAGGAATGTCCTACTATTATGAAAAGAAGCACTTCTCAGTTAACACACTATTACACACTTTAAACATTGAAGGCAGACAAGGCACAAATGTACACGAATGACAAATTTAACCTTGTCTACATGCTAGCACTCTGTCATCTACTGTAAACGTAATAACGCAGGATTTGCGGGCATATAATTATATGAACTCTTGTCCTTGTTTAGTGTCAGGAACCCATTCCCAATGTCAGTATTTTTGACATACCATATATATATATATATATATATATATATATATATATATATATATATATATATTATCTACAGACAGACTGTTCCGCTGTATCACAGCTTATCAGAGTGGCTAGACGTCTGTTCGCCTCCAGTTAGAATCGAAACCCGGCTGAATTGGTGTCAGTCGGAGATTCTACCACTAATCCGTCGACGTGAATTTTAAGCGTATTTATTTTTAGATAAACACACAGTGACTGAGAAGACTCTGCGTATTTACTGGTCTCTGCCGTCTTTTTCAACATATGGGAGCCCAGCCAGCTCACTTCTCAGAATCGAACAATCAGACTAATACATCTATGTGACATCCGGCTTCAAGACGTTGTAGTTGTTAATAAATATAGTCTTTTTCTTATCTCTCCTAGATCTTTTCCCGACATCCAGTTACTCAAGCTCACTATGTATGTTATGCTTTGTTTTACTCTGTGCCTCATGCCTTCAAACTCTCCTTTGAGTATCAAATTTTTCAAGCCGTCTTTCCTCATTCTGCCTCCCACTTTCCATCACTTGTTTCCCAGATATTATTGTAATAGATTGATTTTGATATCTCCAATTTTCATGTTGGACTCTTCCTTTTGATACGAAACATGCATTCTCACTTCTTACAGATGATGTTTAATTCTTTCTTCTCGCGTTCCTTCTCTGAATTCTGTTGTTTTTTATTGTCCCCTTTCTGTGCATGCTATCAACACTGTGTCATCTGCATATCTTGTTTTATTAAGAATGGGACTGCCACTATAGAATACTTGTAGGACTCTTCTCAGAATCGCCATGCTGTATAGGTTGAATAAATCCGGTGGGAAGACACCGCTTTCTATTTTTGTATATTTGCTGGATACATTTTGTATCCATATATACAGGCGTCTTGCAGTTTGGATTATTCTAATATCCTTCTAAAATATGTTAAGTTTACCTAGCGGTTTTGACAGCTTCTTTTGGCGTAATTTATCAAAGGCTTTTGCTTAATCTGCAAGTCTTATGTATACATTCTTTTGTAATTACATTGTTCTTTCTGATATCATTCTGAGCATAAATATTACATTCCTTGTTCTAGTATATTTAACGAGCCCGCACTGTTCTTATCCTATTTCCGGTCAGATGCTGCTGCGCGCTCTATTCATCAGAATACGGATGATGAGTTTTATTATATGGCTTATTAGGCTGATTATCTGACGGATTTCGCATTCATTTGCGCCTGGTTTCTTAGGAATTGCTATGAAAATGGATCTACCAGCACATATGATTTAAAGTCGTGAAAGCTTGTGTGACAGCATCCCCACTTTTCAGAAGAACCCAATACAGAGAACTTGTGCCACAATGTCCCAAAATGACTCTCCTCAGGTTTCGAATGCAGAGGTGTACTTCTCCTAGATTGGTTGTCAACCATGGCTAAAGAAATTGCGCTTCTGTTTAATGATAGATTTAAACATCTATAATCCTTTCAAAAAGTGACCAAAGTTCCATATATATAATTATATATAAAGGCTTACGGCTATGTCATTTTTAAACAGCAGTTCTCATACTGCTATCTCACACACAGTTAAGCGACGATGAAACTGGTCAGTACCTAAATGAGTGACCTATTGGGAAGACCAGCTGTTGTAAGCTCGTATATCTGGCAGGTGTAATAGATATTGTTTATATCTATATATAATTTAGAGTAACATATGTAATGAAATAGGCACGGATAGAGTAATGACTAACGGCTCGGGTTAAGGAATTCCAGTCGAATCCGCTTTCCATTGGGTAAATAGAATGGCAGACCGAATTCTATAGCCTTGGATGGCAACTAGTCTACTGCCGAAAGAAATAGAAACCTATTGCGGGTAAAACAATCTGCCTCGTCAGTCATGTATCGAAAGATAAATGATCGCCTAAGAGTGTATCACGGATTGTACATAACTGTCTGAATGTATGCAATAATAAAACAAAGGAAGACAAAAAGAATATAGAAAATTGTCTTGCTCAAACCATTCAAGTGTTAAAGGCTTTCTTATATGTCCTCAATCGAAATATTGTTTTGTAGTCTTGCAAACATATTGGTTAGAAATTCTTACTTTTGGTTCCATGAATATGGTCTCTGAAATTAGCTCTGTTCAAAAAAATATCTACCATTGGTCGGGATGTTGACTGTTACACTATAAAGAGGTTACGAGTGAAATTAAACCTAACAGCGCTCTTTTTCAGGATATTAGCAAAGATATTGCTAGTATGTTTAATCCGAAAACAGTTCTTCAGAATTCTAACCACATTCTGAAATTGTCTTTTTTTTTTTAAAAAAATATCTCTCCGAATGGTTTGTATGTTGAATCTTACTATTGTTAGTGAGATTAATTTTAGAGTACTTCTAAAATATGACCGAATCCTAAGGTTCTTTTTGTCCAATAAATATCTAGAAGAGAGACAATTGGTCTGATGCTTATCGGAAAGGTTAATGGTATCCGAAAAGCGAAGTTGAACTTCGACATGAGGCTATCATCAAAAAGTCTATTAAATACTTCAACAAGGACGAACTCCTGAGCGACAAACAATATGAATTTCTCTCTGCTAGGTCCACTGCTGATATTCTGTCATTATGCGCAGATTAAGTGAGTCATTAAACAATTAATACCTGACAAGGACGATTACGTTATATATATCGAAGGCTTTTAATATGTTGTGGCATAGAGGGTTGCTAGAAAGACCTTTCAGCTATAGAATCACTGGAGAATTTTTTCAATTCTCTTAGACTTTAGCTCCATTTTCATACCAATGATTCAGTTTATTGATTAAATTTATTTTATTTTACCCTTTAGATTATAAATACACATATATTCACGTGCGTGTGTGAGAGAGAGAGAGAGAGAGAGAGAGACAGACAGACAGACAGACAGACAGAGAGGGCGGAGGGGTTTGGTATATATTCCTGTTTTTCACGTTCTCATTTCTCATGCGGCGTAACAATAAAAAGAAAGAAAGGAAGATCCAAATTTTGATAGATAGACAGAGTGATAAATAGATAAATAGATGGATAGATATGAACGGACTGAAATAGATAGATAGATAGATAGATAGATAGATAGATAGATAGATAGATAGATAGATAGATAGATATGAAATAACTGAGATAGATCGTAGTCAATGGCCACTCTTCCGAGACCCTTGAGTTCAATACATATGTCCCCTAAGGTTCGCTTCTTGTTCCTACGCTCTTTCCGCTTTATATTAATGATCTGCTTAAGTGCATACTCCGTTCTCTAGTGAATATCTATGCAGATGATACAACGTTATATGGGTACTCCTCGAGAACTGCAACATGCGACGTTTGATAACGAGATACTTTCATCAAAATTACTTCGATTTAAAGAAACACAGCAGTGTAATTTCATATCTTCAGTACAGTGGCCCGTTTCCATGCAGCCCCTCTGCTCAAGGACATTTCTGTTTGTCCAACACCAACAAAGCCAACCTGTGTTTTATACTGCAACTACACCCTTGTGCAAATTAATTGAAACAAAGATCTAGATGGCCAGAGTCTAGCAGCGTATTTCTCCTCTAACAGCTCAATAGGGTACTAAATGGCTTGTCAAATTCAATACCTTAAAAACCAAACTACCAACACCAACAAAGCCAACCTGTGTTTAATGCTGCAAATACACCCTTGTGCAAATTAATTGAAACAAAGATCTAGATGACCAGAGTCTGGCAGCTGATCTCTCCTCTGACTGAGCTCTAACAGCTCAATAGGATACAAAATGGCTTGTCAAATTCAATACCTTAAAAACCAAACTAGTCGCTATCCATCATTAACAAGCAGAGCCTGAATTTTCGTCTATCCTGATGAACTGTGTTCTTTCAAAGAGGTCGCTTGTCTCGACCATCTATTAAAACTTAACCAATGCCTCAAACGGAACACATATTTATGATACATCGCTGAAGATGCTGGATAAATGATCGGTTCCTTGTACGGCTTCATTAAGTATCTAACTCCTACTGTGCTTTACCTTTACAAGACGCAGATCAGTAATGCTGCCATATCTGAGTGGCCCAGTCTTCACTTGCAAAATCGCCTACGCGGTTTTGTGGGTGATTATTTTCGACCCTACAACGTTGTGAAAACGCTGCGGGCCTCTTACTAACCTTTTGCTATTTCCATGGGGAATGTTCACACAAGCTTCATTCCTTACTTCTACCAATTGAATCCTCATCATTCTCTTCGATTTCATTAGTAAACAAGTAGTTCTACTTTGTGGGCCCGACTCCCAAGAGGATGCTCTCCCAAGCACTAAACTCGTAACCTCTTATATATCTTCATAAAATGTTCTTCTTACTTCTTACCGCTCATACAACCTCCTTCAGTAAACCTCTACCAGGAATGGCTCTTGAGCCTTCTATAGAGTAAACATTAATAAAAAAAAGAAAAAAGAAAGAAAAACAGACAATATGCGTTCAAATGCGAAAGGCATGAATACGTTTCTCCCTACCTACACACAATGTGTAAATAGCAGAACAGTTCAAACTATTAAAATCTTGTAAACGAAATCGATGTTGGTCTTTCGACAACTGGTCTGATCAGGGAACTTTCATTGCGACTGCTACCACTTAACCGAATATAGCCCGTCTTTTGGAGAAGAGATGGGTGCTAGCAAATAAACCACTCCCTCATTTCGTTGAGCGATGCCAAGAAAGTGATTTATTTGACATGGCACACCGACCAACTTAATAAAGGTCACAAAGAAATATACAACGTTCAAAACAAATAACTACTTGATGTCGGGATTGTGCCTTTTAATCTCAAAAGCCGTTGATGGTGATATTGATCTTAACAGGGGTGCTTCGTGAATGTGATTTTGATCTCAGATTCACTTTGAAATTAATTATGAACGAAAGGTGAATAAAGAAAGAAAAGAAAAGTGAGCAAAAACAAGGAAAGCTAAACTAAACAAAAAGAAATTAAATCGGCAAATATTTATGAAAAATAAAGGAACGGAGATTTAAAAACAAAAAAGAAAGGAAAAAGATAAGAATAACGATAAGAAAGAATGAAAAAAAATAATAAACGAAATGAATGAGAAAAGTTAAACTGAAAAAGTGCAAAGAAAAGTAAATGAAGAAAAGAAGAAAAAAAAGAAGCAAAAACATGAATGAAAAAGTAAAAAGGAAAGGAAAAATGAAGAAGCAAGAACCAAAGAAGAAAAACAGAGAAAAGAAAGAAAGAAAGAAAGAAAGAGACAATATGTTAAAAAAGATATTGGGCACAAAAAATAAACCTGGCAGCCAAAAGAAGGCATTAAAGTCGAGGTAATGAACTGAAAGAAGATAAATGAAAAATACGATAGAAGAAGAAGAAGAAGAAGAAGAAGATGATGATGATGAAGAAGAAGAAGAAGACGACGACGACGACGACGACGACGACGACACGGTTGTTGTTAACTGGTGCAGGGCGGGGTAAAATTTAACCCTTGCTGGTGAAGAACGAGTCACAAGTGTTTTTAATTTGGCCTTGTCAGTGACAAAGTAATAAGTTTTCGTATAAGGCGGGAACAGGCGTCGTGGGCTTGCACACTGTAAGATCTTACGAAGCGTAGTTTATTGATGTGAACCTGTTAATAGACTTAACACGCACACACACACACACGCATATTACATACATATATATATATATATATATATATATATAAAGAGAGAGAGAGAGAGACTTAATAGATAATAGATATATATATATATATAAAGAGAGAGAGAGATACTTAATATTACACACACAATATATATATATTATATATATATATATATATATATATAGAGAGAGAGAGAGACTTAATAGATATAGATATATATATGTATATATAGAGATTAGATTTTTAAACACACATCCCTATTATATATATATATATATATATATATATATATATATATATATATATATATATATATATATATATATATATATATATATATATATATATACACACACATTTCCCATTAGCAGGGATGAAAAATTATTTATTTTTACAAAGTTCCTCAAATCAGTGTTCCGATGATCAAACATCATAATACTTCGGGAAGTTTGTCGATCCGAGTAATATATATATATATAACGTCATCCACAGACAGACTGTTTCGCTGTTTACAGCTCATCAGTGTGGCTAGACATCCGGTTGCCTCTAGCTAGGATCGAAACCTGACTGAATTGGTGTCAGTCAGAGCTTCTAACCACTAAGCCGTTTTTAGAATATATATATATTATGCAGTGTTATATTAGAACATGCCCATACATGCCCAAATTTATTTAACGTTGAAACAAGATCTACAGTTTTGTAGTGGGTTTGCACCTGCTCTAATGTAATACTGCATAATAAATAAATATTTACGGCTCAACTTTTGTATTGAGCCCTGTTTTAAATTAATATTTTGAACGATGAAATCTTACTCTTCGTTCTTTTACATTTTATATATATATATATATATATATATATATATATATATATATATATATATATATATATTTATTTGTTTTTTTTTTTAATCGTTAATTTTACGTTACGTGTATTTGTCCTCACATCTTACTAAATTAACATGGCGCGAGCGAATGAACGAAATGCTCGGAAAATTCCTTTTTTAAATGGCAGGCCTAAATTTTGGTGTCCTGAAGCTTGAATAGATATGGGGAGGGGGTTTCTTTTTTTTCAGCAACAATAGATTCGAGGAAACTTGCTGCAAAAAAATAATTCTATCAATAGACATTAAAAAGCTTTAATGGATCATACAACTGTGAGTTTGGTCGCTGGTAGCCCGCAAGAAAATATTTGAAATTTAACCAATTGCAAGATAATTTTGAGGTTATCTGAAATTGGTATCGGAGCATATTCTAAGGGCATCATTAACTACATCAACCCACTGGATAATAGCATAGCTTAGATGCGGTAGAAGGCTGAAATTATGGGGCACCCAGTGAGGGTCTAACTCATTTTTCAGTCATTATTGATCTAGTGGGATTAAATTGTTAAACATTATACCACGTTGATGTACCCCTACCTATAGCCTTATGAAACTTCTGAATCTACACGGTGTTTTTTAATAGCATATATTTATATATATATATATATATATATATATATATATATATATATATAAAATAAAAGGTTTAAACACTAATATTCCATGGTCATAATTTATTATATTGGAATCGTAATATATAAGTTTAAACACAAAACCCCGGAAATAAAAAATAGAATTTCGAGAGTGTAAAAAATATGAGAGTGAGGGACGAATGTTAAAGCTAAAGAGAGGGGTAACAGATGAGAGAAGGTGGGAGATTAAAACTTAACAGAGAGGAGTTTTAGAGACGTACCACTAATATTATCAAAAAATATTTACCACTAATATTATCAAAAAACTATTGTGTGTGTATGTCACCACAAAATGCATCCTTTCCTTTTTACATCTTTAATGTATTAGACATCCGACAAAATTCATATTTTTTCACTTAAACCGTCTTTGACAAAATATTCTCTTAAAACTTCTCTTAATTAAATTTTTAAACCCCCACCTTCTATCGTCTGTTACCCCTCTCTTTAGCTCTAACATTCGTCCCACACTCTCATACTTACACTCTCTCTAAATTCTATTTTTATTTCCGGAGTTCTTTTTTCTGTTTTCTTTTTGAATTTGTAGGTTTGATGAATTGGATCTTTTTTCCAATGGAATAAATTATGACCATGGAATATTAGTGTTTAAGCCTTTTTATTATATCCTTACTCTGTCCTGGACGTAAAACAAAACAAAACCAAATCATGGTTATTGGTCAATTCTCGAGAAAGAAAGAAGACAATGCATTTGTTTCTTTTTAAAACAATAAAAATTAAGGCGGAAGTATACTGTATACAAACCGACCATTTTGCATTATTTTGATACGAATTTTAAATTTACCCAGAATTTAATGTTGCTTTGTCATTTTATGCGTTGAAGTCAATGTATAATTCAGTAAATGCCTTAGTATTTTCATAACACACGCATTTTTCTCCCATACTTTTCAACATACAATTATAAACGTTAGATTATCAATTCAACGCGGACTCGAGAACTGCAACATGCGACGTTTGATAACGAGATACTTTCATCAAAATTACTTCGATTTAAAGAAACACAGCAGTGTAATTTCATGCAGCCCAAGGACATTTCTGTTTCTCCAACACCAACAAAGCCAACCTGTGTTTTATACTGCAACTACACCCTTGTACAAATTAATTGAAACAAAGATCTAGATGGCCAGAGTCTAGCAGCTGATTTCTCCTCTAACAGCTCAATAGGGTACTAAATGGCTTGTCAAATTCAATACCTTAAAAACCAAACTAGCAGCCCTTCTGCTCAAGCACGAACACCGACAAAGCCAACCTGTGTTTAATGCTGCAAATACACCCTTGTGCAAATTAATTGAAACAATGAATAATTCCGTTATTTTTACATTTTTTTTTTGCATTTTTCCAATGAAACCTAACCTAGTGCACATGTTAGTACTTCGTATGTCCATTCCACGAAGTCTTTCCTTGCAGACTGATCACAGATTCTCGATTGGATTTAAATGTCGAATTCCTGGGCCATTATATAGTACTTTGATTTGTTCACTGTGTTTGCTATCGTGTTCGTGCAGCGTTGAAATTTTCGCACGCTTCCTTGGAGTAACGTCCATCGCAGACAATGTCCGTAGGACAACTAATCTACAGTCGAGACAACAATTATTATTTATAAAAAAAAAAACATGTAACCACTAAAAATAACGTTTGGAGTAATAAGAAATAATGTCGGAAAATCTATTTAATATATATATTTTTGTGATTTCAACGAACAGCCATTGCCACTTTCATAATGCTCGTTGTAGTAGAGACTTTTTAATCGCAGATACAACTATAGAAACGCCGTTGAACAATACTTGTGTCAGACGCCTTCGAACATAACTCGCACTAGTATTTGCTCGATAGTACTCGCTCGAATAGTAACATTCGAATAGTGATCTGAATAGTAATGCGTATAGTGATCAGTATAGAGAAATAGTATAGTGACTAGTATATATAGAGAGAGGATAGAGTAGAAAGAGTGATCCGTATAGTAATAGAGGATAGAATAGAAATAGTGATCATTAGACGCCACGCTAATTCCCATATATGCATTTCCTTTACCATCAAGTTATCTACGTATTCAAAATGGGATCGTCATTGTTTGCTCTCTAGTGATCTGTGTTCTAACTCCAATGTTTAAGCTACACTTTATTCCTTCATAAATATATATATATATATATATATATATATATATGAAAGTGATACTGATGTCAAAACAAAGCGACAGTCTTTTCATATCTGAACGCAAAATTCAATTGATTATTACTTTTCAAATTTTTAGACAGACTGTAAAATAAATTGGTGTTTAAATATCTCTGTCTATATTTATATTTATATTTATATATATATTCTACTTAATATAGGTACACGTTTAAATATTATAGCATATATTTTAAAATATATATATATATATATATATATATATATATATATATATATTTGAATAAAAGACAGACCACGTTAAGATTCCATGTAATAAGAATTTCACCATAACCCCTTTCGTAAGACTTTTATTCCAAAAGCTGAAATGAAAAATGAAAAGAAATTCACACGTTTTTTACGGACCTCACCTCATCAAGTATACGCAAATTTAACGAAGTGAGGAAGTGAGGTGGGAGAGAGGATATGATGTATCATATGTATCATTTTAGTTTCCTATTTTAACCCCAGTTTGTCGGCTAGATGTTGCTCAAATTTAAGGTCCGTAAAAACGTGTGAATTTCTTTTCATTTTCATTTCAGCTTTTAGAAGTAAAGTCTGATGATCCAGAACCCTGTTAAAGGGGTTATGGTGAAATAGCTTATTACATGGAATCTTAACGTGGTCTGTCTTTTATTCAAACATATCTGCTCTGAATTTTACATTGAGCTCTCTGGATATCATCCTCCTCAGGTCTACCCATACGGATTACCTAAATTTGCATAAACTATATATATATATATATATATATATATATATATATATATATATATATATATATATATATATATAATGGGTCAATACCAAGCGGCGACAATCTGTTTTATTCTTCAACACAATCTTCAGGCCCATCTATTTAGCACTTTTACTTCATATTCCATTGTTAAGGAGGAAGTTGTACTATTGAACAGGTTTCCACGATCTTAACCTCATCAATTTTTGGCATAAAATTAATATGCCTGATCGCGTGATCATAATCAGCTAATGATATTGTCTTTTATTTTAATTTATTTACTGTAATCTGAGGCCTTATTTTGCGTAAAACGGAAATAACTCCTCAACTGCAATTAGACGCGAGACTTATCATGACATAGCCACTCGGGTTTCCATCTCAATTTAACTTTTGAAAACAATAGAACGGTGAAACCTGTAGGATTGCTCTAATGTATTCTTAATGACTTCAGTTGCATTTTCAACATCTTCGTATATGTTCACCTGTATGAGATATATAAATAAACCTATATATATATATATATATATATATATATATATATATATATATATATATATATATATATATATATATATATATAAGGTAAAGGTAAATATCGCGATACTTTATTAAAAAACGTAATTGCACATGAACATTTTATGTATATATATATTTAATTGTTATATGTGCTGTTCAAAATGTCCTCCATTTTTTATCTGTAGTTTTTAGAAACATACAGGGTGAGGCAAAAAATCGCGCATCATAGGGGTAATTTATTAAAAGTATAATTACACATTAACTTTTTATTTACTAGTTATTTCATTGTTATATGTGTTCTTCAAAATGTCCTCCTATTTTTTTCAAAACACATTTCACATCCGTGTCTCCATGATTCATTAACACATCGGGGAGTTTCGTCTGTCATTTTACAGCAGTCATATTTAATACTTTCTTTAAGTTCTTCAATATTTCTTGGGCACGTCTGATAAACAATTAATTTCAAAAGGCCCCACAAAAAAAAATCCAAAACATGATTAATTATTTAGCCCCTATGGTGCGCGACTTTTGCCTAGCCCTATATATATATATATATATATATATATATATATGTGTGTGTGTGTGTGTGTGTGTACTGGGTGCGATGGGTAAATTATCGCCATATTATATTATTAATTTCGCGTCGTTTTTTTGTTTTTGATTTTGTTGACTTCACAGTATAGTAGGGTCAGTTGGGCACCGTCTGTGAGAAAAAGAGCACCATGACACAATTCACTCCGCCAGAAATTTGGTAACGACGTGCTGTACTGCTTGGCATTCACATCGGCCGCTCTAATACGAACATTTCAGAGTGTTTGTGCGTCACTCTGAGGATAGCGTAGTGGATTCGGAAATACATCGATGAGTCTAATAGGGATTACGAAGATACGGCTGCTCGAAAAAGTCACTGTAATTCTTCTGATGAGAAAAGAACTCCCGAAATTCTTGGTGAGGACCTGTCTCAACACTAAGGCCTACACCAAGGGTCTTGTGGAGGTAGAGCTGCACTGGGTCAAGAGAATGGCTGCTGGAAGTCCTTATGTCTGGCAACAGGGGTCTGTATCCTGCCACACATGCATACACATAACGCCACAGACTGCAATGCCCTTCATTATTATGTGCGGGGTGCAGTTGAACGAGAAACCAACAAAACTTCTGTAACACCAAAATATGAACTAATGGCAGATTATGGCAGTATTCATCAACTTAAACAAGAAGAGCGTCCGGAAGAGTTGCTGGAGATTCCGACGTTTTCTGGGAGTTCTGGTTGAAGTCAATAGCGATTTTATTGAATAAATTTACTCTTTAGCATTTCAAGATATTTTTGCGTACTTTTGGTAAATATATCCGTTAAATTGAAATGTCAGTGTTATTTTCATACTTTTACCTAAATTTAGACGACAATTTATCCATTGCACCTTCTCGCTCTTTCTTTCTCTCTCTCTCTCGCTCTCTCTCTCTCTCTCTCTCTCTGCATATATATATATATATATATTGAAATGTCAGTGTTATTTTCATACTTACCTAATTTAGACGACAATTTATCCATCGCACCCTCTCGCTCTTTCTCTCTCTCTCTCTCTGCATATATATATATATATATATATATATATATATATATATATATATATGTGTGTGTGTGTCTATTTATAGCCCCGTGTCTTACCCTCATATGCAT